GGTTTTGAATCGGTTTTTAAAATTTTTTTGATATAAATTTTCTACCTTTGACTATTTGGACAAAGATATGCAAGTCGTTCGTGTTATTCTCGCCCGTGAAAGACGACAGACAAATTTAAAATCTCAAGAAATGTGGGAAAAGACTTGAATATGGATTTTATACAAAGGGTAAGAGACAAATTTGCATATTTCAATTTTTTAATATTTAGACTTTACCTTATTTGACATGAAAATGATAAGCATAACGATGAAACGGACACTGTATTTGTTAATAAAACAACTTCCTGTGTAATACACATGGTAAAGTGTAAAATTTCCCACTATTTCACTAATTTTCGCAAGCTGTGATTCATAATCGCAAAATATTTGGTTACAAACTACGAAGCTTTGATCGATATTCAGTTGCATATACGAGGATTACGACGGTCTTTGAAGTGCGAACTGTCTAGTGTATTAATGTTTAAAAGGTTGACTCCTGAGCTCTCGTTTTATAAACAGACATAAACCTCATTTCCAGGATGGCCTGTTTTCTTACAAGTTTTCTCAGTAAATATCACTCTGAATGAGCAATGTACCTTTATAAGTACACTCATAGTTCTGATACCCCTTGTTTAAGTTGAGGAGTTTGGTCACATTCTTTTGTTTACTGTACCTTGATCATATGCTAATTATGTTACTGGAGGATTTTTGTACAACCTACATAATTAATCTACTCTTGTTTGTTGCAGATTTATTCCACAATGACACACTCCTTTCTGGGTGGCAAGTTACAGTACCAAGCCTGGCAAGCCACACATATCTTTGGAAACTGAACATACTGTATTTTAAAACATGCTTCCAAAAATTATGTCACCTTGGTGAGTCTCATTTTCACGATTGAGTCTCACGGTGAGTCTCATTTCCATGATTTCATGCCACATACATGAAAATGAGGCTCCGATGACAAGGTGAAATACATTCTGGAAGCCGGAAGGGTGTATTTGATTTTTTGAAAAATTATTGGCAGTAAAAAATTTAAAAAAACAAAAATGTATAATTTTAATTGCTATAAAACTTATTTACACTTCAATAAAGTTATCATAATCATATAATTATTTATGTTGTTATGCATGGTATTATAATTAACTAATTAATTTTGTTGTTCTGCATGTTTTTCTGCATGTTGATGCCTCAGTGCCATCTCTTGTGTATATTAAACATATAATTTCTGCAAAATAAAAGATGACATTATTATCATGATACATTATACATCTTTACATCACAAAAATATCATATACACATATGTTAACCCTTCACAAGTGGCAATGTGTCTTGATATGCCTTACTGTATTATTTTAATCTACCTAACACCAGACAATTTTACTAGTCAAGGGGAGAGTGCAATTACATGATCTGTTTTTACCAACGACCATTGATCTGAGCTTCAAAATTAAGTGTCATGTTTCAATATTCAGCAATGCAATTACATTCCTAACTGCTAAAATATGTCAAACTGAACTATTATGAGCAAATTTCATCATAATTTCTCACAGGCCGTGTCATGGCCAATTGGACATCACTACTCCCAATGTTAGAAATCATGGGCGGATTTACGACACCAGAAATTTTTCTATCCCTCCTTTTGAATGAATGAAAATCCGCCCTAATTGTTAGAAATGTTGTAGCATTCCAAATTTAACTCATGATTAGTGTATCAGTGACTCACTTAAATCCCGGCAGCTTGTGGGCAACATTTTTGTTCTTGCCATGTAACTATAACAGCATACTGTGTAAAACTATATAGTTTTATATAGTTCTGAACAGACAATGACAAAATGATATCTATTTTTAGTAAAATTATGAGTAAAACATCTGGATTTAATCTCAGATTGAGTAAAATAAGAAAGTAGCCAGGGTTCGTTGCAGCTTAATGGGCTGACTATATATCTCGGGCTGCTCATTTGCAGATAGCTGTAATTAACCCACTGCGTGGCAGCAGGGAGCAGTCTCAATCCTCTTAAAATCGTCTGTAGACAGACAGAGTAAAATAATAAAGACAGTCTTTAGGGCTCATCGATCAGCCGAAGGGCACATACATTAATTGTCACATGTAGGTGGGCCTCCTCAATAACGGCTCAACTCTCCCTGGTCTTGTGCTTATCTATATATTCTAATTCTGCACTGTGATGGGCAAGTATATAAATTTCACACCATATTTAATAATTAACGTTTTAAAATATACGAACATGTAAACAACCACAATTTTTAGTATAAATTAAAAACTGGCAGTCTGGCAATAAAACTACGAAGGCCAGTGCTGACACAAAACAACAATTTCATGTACACAATGTTTAATCGTTAACAATATTTATGTCCCCTATTGAAATATTCGCTGTATATATTAGGATGATGAGTTTTTGACATAATATGAAGGGTCTAGTGACTGTAGCCGTCTTAGAAAGTTATAAAAAAGTTTCGTGAATCTTACCTGAAAGAATGTAGCGAAATGCTGCATCCACAAGCGAAGCAAACTCGCACCCTCGCTCCGCGTTGTAAAACAAGTAATGTTCGAGGGAAATATTAAGATTTTTTAGCTCAAAAACAACAGAAAACTCGAGAGAAAACTTTATGATATCTGTATCGTAATATTTGGCCCAAAAACCAGGGGGGTTAAGGACATCGTCGGAAGTTTAGGATCGCGGTTGGTCAGTGGCAGTTACCATGAAAATAAAGTAAGTGTTGTCATGGAAATGGCGCAATAGCCGCCATGTTTTCGGCTTCACTTGATGATGCCGAGCAGGTCCTCCAGTAATATAGTATAGCTCAGTGCTCGAACCGTGTAATTTCCCGCTATACAAATCTTCAATAAACTTACATTTCATGATTAAATGTGTCAAATTTCTCGAAAATGTCAAATAAAGTGAAAGAGTGTGTGTTTTGTCAAATCAATTGCTTGTGTGTTTTTGCCTTGGTTTGCATTTAACATTCCTCTTAAAGACGAATTTAGAAATATTTTGCTAAATCTCCCGGACTCTATTAATCAGCAATGCATGATGATTTGATTTCGAAAGTATCTACTATGCCATTAAATCCTGTACTTAAAGCTAAGACATTGTCAATAAAAAATAGTTTACAGTTATATCTTGCTTAGTTTTCAAAATATTTCGACTGAAAAAAGTGAGCTGTTTGCCATCTTGGATTATTGAGGATATGCATGTTTACGTCAACAGAGGGGTCACGCTAATTTTTTATCTTGAGAGTAAGCGATCAATATGGGTCCAAAAATTCGTTTGTGGTTGCTGTCTAAAATTTAGAAATGATTAAAAACAATTCAAATAATTTTGGATTGTCACTCGGTCATTTTAGAGTAGTTTTATATGACTAACCCAACTCCTGACGTCATCAAAACCAAAGTTAATGAAGTCAAGAATTAGTCCAAGACGGCAGACAGCTCATTAATTTCGGTCTAAATATTTCAGGACCTAAGCAACATGACAAATCGGTAATAGAGTTTAATATACAATTTTAAGAGTTCTTTTGAATGAGACAAACTATTTTTTATTGCCAATGTCCTTTAGCAAACCTGTATTTGGGCCAAGGATGCCATTATGTGAACTTGGTATGACAAAGTGACTGTACCTAAAGTGAAAAAGCAAAAATTCGAGCATCAGTTTGGCTATGTATATTTTCAACTGAAATTTCATATGCTTAGCACGTAGCATTTTAAAATCGAAGATGAAAAATTCAGCTCTCTACGGATTAAAATAAAGTTTTAATTACAGTTATTTTTGTATATCCACCTCCAGCTATTCGATCACCTCTTATACTACAGCTTCTGACAACTGCATTTGAAGGTAACGTGATCTGTTGTATGCCTTGCCGAAATGAAGCATATATTACTCCTGGTGAACTAGATTACCAACTGCATATCAAAACACATTAACACATTTGGCAATTATTAAGAATTCATTATATTCATTATACAAATATTAAGAATTCATTTTGACAGCCACAACTTGAACCCATGCAGTAAATAGATCTCAAAAAGGATGTCCTTGGGATCGCAAGCCCCCGACGAGCGATTTAACATGCTCTACCAGATTATTTTACTCTTTCATTTTTCTGAAAAATGTCATTTTAATTAGGAAAAAATCAAAGTTAAAAAATCACAGTCAACCGTGATGCTTTGCGCAGGGCCGTAGCTATAGGGGTGTAGGGGGTGTGACACCCCCCTAAAAACGTCTTTTCGGCAAAATAACGGTTTTATCGGCAAATCGTTTCCGTAAGCCGCGAAAATATTAGAGTGGTTTGGATGATATAGTATTACTATTAGCAAAAAATTAGCTAAATTCACTATGCCCGGAAAATTGTTGGTATGTCCGGAAAAATTTTAGTATGTCCGGAAAATTTTTTGTCCGGAAAAAAATTAAAAAAATTTGCGATCTCCACCCCCCCCCCCGCCAATAATTTGGGGGGAATAAATATTAATTAGCGACGGAAATGTTGTCGGAAAATGTGATACTACCCCCCCCCCCTTCTTAAAACTCTTCGCTACGGCCCTGGCTTTGCGCGCTAAAATGTTTTGATTGTTTTGTATTCCGCCATTTTATTAGCCACTTTATATAGTGACGAAAGATTGACATCCGAAGCGTATCTTTATCAATCTGCATTATTCTTAAACGATGTCATATTTTTCATAGTTGGAATATGTTAATAGGTCATTGATTGAGATTTTGGTGTGTGTTTTTATCTTAACCAATGATTTTAGAAAGTTTTCTCATTTTATAAAGTAGATGGCTAATCATGGCTTCTGTATTTCCCGTTCGTGGAAGACCTACAAGTAAGGGTATATCAAAAAGAGTATCGTTGACAAGTTTAATATACGTCCTTTGGACAAAAAGGAAAGAAAGCCTGGGAATACTGGGGCTTTCACACAGCGAATTCCTGGGAATATGGAGGCTTTCGCATAATAGCGAGTTTGCCGAAAGTGGACACTTACGCTGTAATTTTCCATTAGGAACCTCTTGGAGATGAGCCATCGTTTTGGTTCTGTTTACGTTTTACTACTAGATGCATGGTTATGTTTCCCTTGTTTCTGTGTTCTTGCTCTGAGCAACACCATTGCACGACTTTAGCTTTGCCAGACGAAAAGGACTTCACAACTCTTAAAGCGAAGTCTTTCCATGATGGAAGTACAGCTTTATCGGCTTGACTATACGTAATAAGGTACACTGAGCGATAAACGTTTTCCAACTCTTGTATATTAGCCTCACCAGAGTCACTATCACTGTCATATTCCCTCAAAAGTTCCATGTCAATTAAGCAAGCACACCGTGACTAGGAAAATATAATTCATTTACACGCTATTTTTAAATATGACTTAGTTACCGACGGTTATTTACTTAGACACCTTATCTAAATTGTTAAAACACTATTAGGAATGTCTTAGATATAACTTAAAAGGCATAAATATAGATTGACATGATTTAATCTAGAATTATTTGCTAATTTTACACAGCGACTTAAGTGGAGCACTCTCAGACAATCTTGGACAAAACATTTAAGACAACTATGAGATCAAATGTCATATTCATGAGTGTTTCAAATTTCCATGGTTTTGCCCCCCTCTCCCCCGCCCCCGATTCAATATTGATTGGATGAAACCACGTATTTGGGTTATGTGGCTGTCAAAAATTAGCAACACTGGACTGGGCGAGTGGGAGTTACATCAAAATAAATCCATGAGTTAAGGTAATTCCGCAGTTTTGCATTGCGCACGTTTACTGCGCATATCTTATAACTTATAATTTCATTCATTATACATATCGTTTAAAAAAACATAATTTTATTACAATTTTATGTTACTTCAAAACATCTTTGGTTACATTCGTGCAAAGAATTACGTTAAAATCAATGTTTTCAAAAAAGTCATACAAAAGTGTAGCTAGGGTTCCCTGTGTCTGTAGTATATTTATTTACTTGTATTTCACGTTTTAATGCCACAATTCCCTAAAAAGATCGGTGACCCCCGTTTTTTAACTGATAATTTATTTCTTTAATGCATTTTACATTTCATATCCGAAATTAAAAGAAAAATCATTTCTGGATCTTGAAAAAAGCCTTTATCAATGCATGTTCTCAAAGAAAGATATGTAAAGAAATGTGGAAAAGACATCTGTGGATTAGAATTGTGCACGTTAGTAGTTTCATTTTGCTCAAAACACAATATTTTTTCAAAAATAATTACAAGACAGGTTTTACTAAAGCAAAATCCGCGCTAACAAGTCAATAAATATCCGGCTGTTGTAATTTTGCTGTTACTCATAACGAGCGTCAAGATGGCGCGATATTGGGGTAAAGGTGGTATATTGTGATTGTCATATCTTCTTAACGAGTTCGGTGACCCCGACTTTTTTGTGTGATTTTACTTTAAGTAATATATAAATATATGAATATGGTCCCCCCCCCCACTTATCGATCTTTCGACGCCTATGAAACAATTCTAGATTAAATCATGTTAATCTGTATTTATGCGTTTTAAGTTATATCTAAGATAAGATATCTAAGTAAATAACCGTCCGTAACTAAGTCATATTTAAAAATAGTCTGTAAATGAATTATATTTTCCTAGTCACGGTGTGCTTGCTTAATTGACATGGAACTTTTGAGGGAATATGACAATGATAGTGACTCTGGTGAGGCTAATATACAAGAGTTGGAAAACGTTTATCGCTCAGTGTACCTTATTACGTATAGTCAAGCCGATAAAGCTGTACTTCGATCATGGAAAGACTTCGTTTTAAGAGTCGTTAAGTCCTTTTCGTCTGGCAAAGCTAAAGTCGTGCAATGGTGTTGCTCAGAGCCAGAACACAGAAACAAGGGAACATGCCTGTCAAAACAGGGTATCCTAGGTAGTGGCGCTACCTGCAAGTGTCTGAAGCTAACTGCAATCCTTGTCAGAACTCTGAAGTTTTTATTCATACTAACTAAAAAAATACTTAAAATTTCCACAAACTAATTGCAAATTTTTTGGCTACCTGCAAAAAAACTAAATATACAGGCATGCAAGGGAAAACATAACCTTGCATCTAGTAGTAAAACGTAAACAAAACCAATGATGGCTCATCTCCAAGAGGTTCCTAATGGAAAATTACGACGTAAGTGTCCACTACTCGAGTGTCTATCACGACTATTACAGTGCATGGAGATATGTCACGAAGTCGGATAAAGAGTTTGTTAAAAGCACTGCGATAGGCCCCTAAACCAAAAACGACTAATGCAAACCCGGCCGGACGCAGCAAGAGGAAGGTTAAACGGCCGGCGCGATATTTTAGTGCCCAGGACATCTCGCCGGAAGATGAAGACGAAGAGGAAGAGAGGCCAACCATCCGAAACGTAGAACAAACTAACAGCATTCGAGTTGTCGCAGATCATGGTAGAGGGGAACACTAATGTAAGAATTAGATTGAACTTCAAGCTCTTGCGTTTGAACAGAAAGAGAAAGGGAAAACTGATCTGGCCGAGTTCCTAGTCGGTCGAACTCCTACAGCAGTTGCTGATATGATGCAATCTACATGGCAGATAGAGCAAGCGAAAGCTAAATTAAAAAGAGCAAAGGAAACAAGAATGGAACTGCAGGAGGCAAGATGGAGTGCATGTGTACAAGGTTGTAATGGCGATTGGTGAAGTTGTGCAGGAGAGATTCTTCACAAAAATGGCTTATCGGTAGAGTACTTTGGCGAAGTCGTACGCAATCTATTAAGCAAGGGGCGAGGGAAGTTCCGAAATATAATGCTAACGGGTCCAGCAAATTCTGGCAAAACGTTTCTCCTCAACCCTCTCACGGCCCGGAAAAACAAAAGAAACCCGCGCAAAAGATTTGTGTGCATCACAGCCTAATGAAAAGCAACCTTTCAATTTGTAAATATTTTAATACTGGTTGATTAGTCAACGTGTTTAAAGATGTTTTTAATAAATAAATAAACTATAGCTACTTGAATGTTCTACAGGACAATTGTCCTGAACAAAAATGTTCGAATGTCGTTTGCTGGCTTTGGTGAACAGAATACTAAATCTACTATCTACAAAAGAAGCAAAAAATGGCACATCCATTTTTTCATATATAACAATCAATGCCCCTTTTTCATAACCTACCGTATTTACTCGATTGAGCACCGCCCCCGAATAATCGCCGCTTTTGAGATAACATTTTTTTAACCAGCGCTGCCCCCAAATGAGCGCCACACGAAATAGTGTAAAAACTTTCCGCCTTCGAAATGGGGAAATTTAGTGACATAAACTTTGTAAAACTTGTTTATTTTATTATTAAAAGTTCTTGTTATAATTTACAAATAGATTTTTTGTTATACAAAATATATAATGAAAATTTAAATTATGATAATTTTAATTTTTATTATATTTTTTGTACAACAGGCCAAAAACACTTTATCGTGTTGCTATGGCAACCCTGACGTAAACGCGAACCTGCGTTCAGTGTTGATCAATTACTAATACTTCATATTAAATCAATGTTTAGAAAATACAGGCGAGGTGTTGCTGCATGCATGTATTTCTAGTAACCTATTAAACCCTAGTAACCCCTTGTAATCTATAGTAGTAAACTCTTGTAATCAATAGTAGTAAACTCTTGTAATCAATAGTAGTAAACTCTTGTAATCAATAGTAGTAAACTCTTGTAATCAATAGTAGTAAACTCTAGTAACCACTTGTAAATTGTAATCTAGTAACCCTTTGTAATCTAGTAAACCTTAGTAAACTGGTGAATGATAAATCTAGTAAATTGAGTAATCCAGTGTCTCCTCGTGCTGCACACAGTGTCACAGGAGCAAGTAAAACTTTTCAAGGATGCCGATGAGCATAGTCATATTTACAAAAAATGTAACAACATGTTTAAAATGTAAAAATGTCAACTGTGAATGGCCTTAGTTTGGACGCAAATTTGCATTTTATTTGTACACATTTTCTCTTTATTTATTATATAAAGTATAATGCTTTATGTACTGTTTAATAAACGAGCAGGAGTGTTTTATTAGGTTTAAAGCCACGAGCACGCAGCGCGAGTGGCTTTAGACCTAATAAAACCACAGGAGGCCCAGGCTCGATTTGCCCGCGCCCGCCAGTGCCTGCCTTATAACGAGGGAAGGAAGGAAACATTGAGACCAAAATAGCCCAGACTTGGCATATGTCACACGAAACTATCCTCGATTTTTCGCCTTTAATGCATTTATACAATCGATATCCCCTGCAAGAATGATACCGTATAACTCTCAAAACAACGATACTTTAATCAACAATTCGCTCTGAAATCCGTGAGGGAATAACAAAATTCGGCCAAAATATATCCGCGTGCCGGGTTTGCTGGACAAAAAGCGGAAGTCGTTGAACAACTCAAAATACACTCAACCCTGATTGGACAACGAAAATCAACAAACATTTCAAATTTTTCTCCACTGGCAGGGGGACAGTACTTGGAACAGGACTGTAATAATATGATTATTTGAATCAAAACAATTCGCAGACGTTATAAAGTCTACTACAAGTTGATTATATGTGTTACTGTAAATATAACTGCAAATATAACTATAATTTTACGCTGAAACATCTTGTCAAATAGGGTAAATAACGTAAATTACTATCCGTATTTACTAACTAAACTTCTTAAATTTAAATAATTAGATTTGCACTGATTTCCCCCCGACAACATTTGTTAATTGTTTTATTCAAATTTATATTACATTACTGACTACTGAAAATTTGAAATGTTTGTTGATTTTCGTTGTCCAATCAGGGTTGAGTGTATTTTGAGTTGTTCAACGACTTCCGCTTTTTGTCCAGCAAACCAGGTGTCCCAGGATTTTCGCCCCCCCCCCTACATTTTCGCCTCCCGGGGGGCGAAATTCCGAGGAATATCGCCTCCCAGGGGGGCGATAATCCTAGGAATTTCGCCCCCCTTTAGGAAATTGGCCCCCCTTTGGAAACTTCACCTTTTCTTTAGTATTTTCGTCTTCCGTTCAAAATTTCGCCCCTCCTAACAGTTGCATGGGATAATTATTACATGGCTTTAATCATTTGAAACCAGTATCAATTCAAAATTGTTAAGACAGAGCTTGAAATAACAACCGATCAATGATCGGAAAGGAATTGCTTATGATCGGCGGAAAAGCAGGGTTTCGGTTTCCAACCTGGAAAAAGCAGGGAAAGTCATGACTGCCGATCACCATGATCGGGAAGTTTGGGAACGTTATTTCAAGCCCTCCATGTAAGAATACAAATTTACAATTACATGTATCGAAAGGGCTTAATACACAGTTACAGTAGATCAATAGGACTTATGACGCTTCACAGCACACCATGCATATTTTGCATTTTCAGTGTTAATCCTTAAACTCATTGTTAAAAAGTAATCACCGTGGTCGTTATTGTAATTATTGGTATTGTTTTGCATCCATGTTTTGTCGTTATCGGAAAATGCATGGCGTTGTCACTATTTTTACTTGCATTATTTCAATATAGTTTGTAAATCTCAGAAGTGAAGGGTAGAACTTGCCAATAGGCAATACTCAATAATATACGTTTCAAAAAAGACAAAAAAGCTTTTAGTTTTGCAGAGTTACATTCTCAAATGTTTAAGGCACTAATAAAATCAAAGTATCATGACATTATTTGAATAAAGCACACCACGTATATAAGTCAAGAATCAAGATTACATTATAATTACTGACACTGACATGGAAAGTTGACGATTCAATGGACAATAGTCAATACGCTTCCCAACACATTCCATAGATTTTTTATTAATCCTATAGTTTATTAATTTTTTTCTGTGTTGGTGTAGTGTTCTCAGGTGAATATGATATTTGTGGTGTTACTCTGAGTGCATATCCACACCGGGCGAGCCTGAAAAATATGCCCGGCCACGGTGGGATTCGAACCTACGACCTTTGGAATACTAGCCCAATGCTCTTCCAACTGAGCTACGCGGTCAGGACGGTTCGAGTAAATGATATTTCGGAACAGAATCTAGTTCCTTCGATACCGATGTATTCTAGTAATATGAATTTTTTTCTGTGTTGGGCTAGTATTCCAACGGTCGTAGGTTCGAATCCCACCGTGGCCGGGCATATTTTTCAGGCTCGCCCGGTGTGGATATGCACTCAGAGTAACACCACAAATATAACTATAGTTTATTGTTAGCAAGTGATTACTGTGGCGGCTATTGTTAACACAATAACACCGGTATTGATGAAATTTGCAAGCGATTGTTTTTATAATATGTTATGTGAATGTAAACTGCCAGAAGAATACGACAACATGATTTTATGCGACCTCTGTCGGCAATGGTTCCACTTTAGATGTGTAGAATATGACACTAGTCTAAGTACCTCAATGAAATAAATAAATAAATCACACAAATGAAAGAGATTTCAAACACTCATTAATAATTCATAAGCTTATTGGCAAATCATGTCAACCATAATATGTCACGTGCAGTGGTTTTAAACCTGATAAAACACTCCTAATTAGTATTTTTTATATAAAGAATACTAATAAGGCAGTATCTATTGTAGTCGTGTTCTCATTTGTATTCTTTATATAAAGAATACTAATAGGCAGCATATCTATTGAATTTGTAGTCGTGTTTGAAGCCGTTTAATAAACTCCTGCTCGTTTATTAAACAGTACTTTGAGCACTGATAAAACTGATAATCTAACATGTGACATTATTTATGATACTTTCACATGTGAAAATTATCGCTTTTCAATTATTGCTTTTCTGTAAAAATTATTGCTTTTCAAAGACTGTCCATTATACAATAAACAGAAAAATACACAGATGCTTGGAAATGCCAGATTTATATATTAAAATTAAAAAATCCTATAGAATAGGTAACGTGTAAATGAGACCTTAACACAGACAACCATTTTGCATGAAAACGCAAAGCGAAATCTCGTATTACACTGTCAAAGAAATGGCGCAAAAACGCATACAAATCATTCGGTCCCCAGGATAATTTTAATATGGTTATGACTAGCATAAAATTCTACGGTATTAGACCTCGACATAGACAACCTATTTTAAGGTGTATAATGATCTATATAAGATATTAAACAACACCATTTTGAACGGCGGGGGGTGATGAATGTCGTGATGGCAATATGCCAAAATTTAAAAAATATTGAACATTTGTGTTACCATTGTCATATTAGAAACTGCATGTGTAATATATTAAAGTGTATTTACATTATCTTAATTCAACTTGCAAATTCAGCTTGTGACCTTCGGTAGTGTTAATGTTGCTGCAAAGATTAAAATGCAAATGATTTTCCCCATGCTAATACCTATTTTTAAGTTCAAAGTGCCTATATGACCGGCAGCCGGTCACAGTCTATCAAATGCTAAATGGCCGGCAGTCTAGTGACTCTAGTTGAATTTAAAAACTTTTGTTTGCGTTAGGTTTTACCGAGCTTGCAGTTAGCTCATACGGCAAGGGCGCTGCGTGTGGAAAGTTAAACGCAGTCGGGGTCGGGATGTGTTTTGTCTGACTTAGGGACCGGTCATTATTTATGGAAGGGGGGGGGAGGGGAATTTTTTCTTTCTTTCCTAAAGTTTTAAAATTGAAAGCCCCCCTTCAAAGAGCAGAAATTTAATGATGACCCCCCCCCCTCTGCATATTAGAATATTTTTCTTTGACCCCC